GTAGAAATGTCTCTACATATCCCTCCAGGAATATAGTCTATAGTTCACTGTTGGCCATGTAGAAATGTCTCTACATATCCCTCCAGGAATATAGTCTATAGTTCACTGTTGGCCATGTAGAAATGTCTCTACATATCCCTCCAGGAATATAGTCTATAGTTCACTGTTGGCCATGTAGAAATGTCTCTACATATCCCTCCAGGAATATAGTCTATAGTTCACTGTTGGCCATGTAGTAATGTCTCTACATATCCCTCCAGGAATATAGTCTATAGTTCACTGTTGGCCATGTAGAAATGTCTCTACATATCCCTCCAGGAATATAGTCTATAGTTCACTGTTGGCCATGTAGAAATGTCTCTACATATCCCTCCAGGAATATAGTCTATAGTTCACTGTTGGCCATGTAGTAACTAAGTATAATTCTCCAAATTCCCAGCTGCTCGATGGATCAAGACAATCCTTCAATTTACGTCGCTATTAATTGAAAGACATTATTCCAACATGACGACTCTCTGCTTGTGCTTGGATTATCCTCGCATTGCAGGTTCTACTCTATGACAGTCTTAACAGTTGATCGATAGCCGGGGGATTAGGCTTTCTGTGAATGAAAGTGGTGGAAGTCCATTGGTGACAGTGTTGTTGGTGTGATCTGCTGACTCAATGACGGTGTTGAGTACTTGTCGTGTCGACGTCCTTCATTCCAGGGTCACGTGGGGATATAACGTGGTTTACCGAGACTTGGGGAGATCACGCTGATAAGGGGTGTTTACTGCTCACCACTCCATGTCTACACAACGCCGTCCTACAGATTCAACTTTTAATGAAGTGGACCCTATTCAAAATATTTACACGAACTTATTCGACTTACTCTAAATATATCTAGTGTGTCGATGACATAATGAGACAATATGACATTACTACATGGCCAACAGTGAACTATAGACTATATTCCTTGAGCGATATATACAGACATTACTACATGGCCAACAGTGAACTATAGACTATATTCCTGGAGGGATATATAGAGATATTACTACATGGCCAACAGTGAACTATAGACTATATTCCTTGAGCGATATATACAGACATTACTACATGGCCAACAGTGAACTATAGACTATATTCCTGGAGGGATATATAGAGACATTACTATATGGCCAACAGTGAACTATAGACTATATTCCTGGAGGGATATATAGAGACATTACTACATGGCCAACAATGAACTATAGACTATATTCCTGGAGCGATATATAGAGACATTACTACATGGCCAACAGTGAACTATAGACTATATTCCTGGAGGGATATATAGCGACATTACTACATGGCCAACAATGAACTATAGACTATATTCCTGGACGGATACATAGAGACATTACTACATGGCCAACAGTGAACTATAGACTATATTCCTGGAGGGACATATTGAAATAATACTACATGGCCAACAGTGAACTAATGAGTATATTTTTGGCGTGAAAACAGTTGAGTAATTGGTCAGTAGGTAGCCATATTTCCACCCGGGTGGATTCTATTACGTCAAGCCATGCCTGTATCCACTAACACAATGATGCAGGTAAATCCAGTAGTTAATGAGGACCCTAGAGACAGCGTCTCCTTGATCGCTTGATATGGACGTATTCCTAAATGTATCACTATCTAGTCAACACGCAGCGTACAATAACGCAACAGTGTCCCTGGTCACGCAACAGTGTCCCCGAAAATGCAACAGTGTCCCCGATCACGCAACGGTGTCACATAGTGAGTGAGTTTGGTTTTATGCCGCCTTTAGCAATATTCCAGCAATATCACGGCGTGGGACACAAGAAATGGGCTTAACACGTTGTACCCATGTCGGGAATCGAACCTGGCGTGACGGGCGAACGCTTTAACCACTGGGCTACCCGACCGCACATAGTGCAACAGTGTCCCCGGTTACACAACGGTGTCAAACAGCGCAACACTGTCCCCGGTCACGCAACGGTGTCACATACCGCAACAGTGTCCCCGATCACGCAACAGTGTCCCCGGTCACGCAACAGTGTCCCCGGTCACGCAACAGTGTCACATACCGCAACAGTGTCCCCGATTACGCAAAGGTGTCACATACCGCAACAGTGTGCCCGATCACGCAACAGTGTGCCCGATCACGCAACAGTGTCCCCGATCACGCAACGGTGTCACATACCGCAACAGTGTCCCCGATTACGCAAAGGTGTCACATACCGCAACAGTGTGCCCGATCACGCAACAGTGTCCCCGATCACGCAACAGTGTCACATACCGCAACAGTGTGCCCGATCACGCAACGGTGTCACATACCGCAACAGTGTCCCCGATCACGCAACAGTGTCCCCGATCACGCAACGGTGTCACATACCGCAACGGTGTACCCGGTCACGCAACAGTGTCCCCGGTCACGCAACAGTGTCACATACCGCAACAGTGTCCCCGATTACGCAAAGGTGTCACATACCGTAACAGTGTGCCCGATCACGCAACAGTGTGCCCGATCACGCAACAGTGTCCCCGATCACGCAACGGTGTCACATACCGCAACAGTGTCCCCGATCACGCAACGGTGTCACATACCGCAACAGTGTCCCCGATCACGCAACAGTGTCCCCGATCACGCAACAGTGTCACATACCGCAACAGTGTGCCCGATCACGCAACAGTGTCACATACCGCAACAGTGTCCCCGATCACGCAACGGTGTCCCCGATCACGCAACGGTGTCCCCGATCACGCAACGGTGTCCCCGATCACGCAACAGTGTCCCCGGTCACGCAACGGTGTCACCACATTCATCAGTGTCCCCGATCGCGCTTCGAGGCACGCCTGACGGGGCCACAGCAGGTCCGCCTCCAGACACTTGACGCGGTTACAACAGTCGGACAATTAGGTTGTTTAGGTGGTACTGGTCTGTTTGACCGATGTTTCCCTTGGACAGAAAAAAATGCCTTTCTGACAGTGTAGTTGTATGACTAGTTACACGAAATATGGCAGTGTACCTAATCGGTTCAGAAAGGGTATAACAATGTTCATGTTAATCCTCAATGTAAATTTTAGATCGCGTTTGTCAAAGGCAGGTACTGAATCAGAATCGGACACAATTAAAACCTCATTACATGATGGATTCTAGGCTATGTATAATGACCTCATGATTAAATAGCAGGAATTATTTGCTCTCGCTCCCATCGTTCGTAGGGAGTAGGGTTTTATGCCGCTTTTAGCAATGTTCCAGCAATATCACGGCGGGGGACACCACAAATGGGCTTCACATGTTGTACCCATGTCGGGAATCGAGCGTGACGAGCGAACGCTTTAACCACTAGACTACCCGACCGCCGTTCGTAGTAAACAGCACAGTTTTATTATATTCTCTTGAACGACATGAAACTTTGCATTGGTGGGACCCTGACTCGATTCTCACAATGTATTACTAGACACCCAAGTTACTCTAGCGGACAGACCGATGGATTGCCGCGAAAGGCAAGTAGAAAAAGATTGTGTAGATTTTGACTTTTCATAGTAACGTGACTGTATAAAAAAACATGTTTCAGTAGGAACTATATTGACTGTTGTCACCGTCCGACTGAAACACCACTTACATTCTGACGTCATATAAATTAATGCGCACATTCCAGGAAAGCTTGCAATGGTTCGGTTTAGGTAAAATTTGTGACATATTGGAAGAGATTTTTCGAGCGCAGAATTAAAGAATGACATTATATGATAAGGCTCGCTAAATACAATGTTTATTCATAGTACAGGATGTTTACTATCACCAAACACACAAGCGTGATAACCTCTATATATCTGTTGACTTACCAAAACCAAACAAATTGTCAACAGTTCTGTTTCTGAGGTTGACGCTCTTCAGTACACAGATATACCAACCTTTATACGGACACCCAGAGCTGGGCAGAAAGTGTTTTCAAACAAATTGTGTACAGGTTAAATCCAACACATGTTGCTTAATGCGAAGATTGCTGTGAAGTAACCCTCTTCTCATTCGGCTTGGATTGGAAAACAACCTTCTCATGTTGAAAGTCGTGAACAGACTGATGAATACCTGTGCCTCACACCAGTTACATGCTATATTTACAAACCTTAGTTAATTTTCATATGAACTCATAGTAAATGTACATAAACACAAGTATGTATAATAATTAATCTCTGCTATGGGTTCTCTTAAACATTCGCAGAGGGTAAAACTTACTTGAGTATATTTAACTTTTCATTACTTCTCAGTCATTGTTACATGAATAATTATGACTTTTGATATGCTTGTTTGTTTGTTGTTTAACGCCGCAATATTCAAGCTATGTGACGGCGGTCTGTAAATAATCGAGTCTGTACCAGACCATCCAGTGAATATGATGTGGGGTGGGGGTGGGGATGGGGGGGTGGGGTTGGGGGTGGGGGGGGGGGGGGGGGGGGGTTGGGGTGGGGGTGGGGGGGGTATTTTTGTCCCTGCAATGCCACTGACAATCACAGACACCCTGTAGATTTACAGCCTTTACTCTGATATACGATGTTTGTATGTATTGAGTGTTTTCAGTTTAGATCCTATGACCTTAAAATAAGCATTATTTATTTCACACACTCTGGGAAACTGTTGAATTTAGGAATCTGAAATATACGTAGTGTGTCCGCAGGATTGGTCTATGTAACCGTTGCTCGAGGATTACAATCAGAATTTAGGATTGGCGCCATTTAATCCATTACTCGTTTCTCTCATTTAAAAAGAGGGGCAAAAGAAAATATGCCTCTCAGATGATTTTATTACATGCTTGATTTTCAACTGAACATATCTTAAGTTGGCATATCATGTCCCAAACAATGAACCGTACTGGAGTTTAACCAGCACTCAAAGAATGCTTCTTCATGGTTCATTATTTAAAAAACTTTATTTGATTTAAAACTTTAAAAAAAAAAAAATTATATTCCGCGTGATACAATAAGACAATGACAAATAGAAAACTCACCATCTTCGCTCGGACTTCCTTCGCCATTTTGTTCGCATTGGCCCGCATGAGAGCAGTCGACGGGCGATGGCCAGCGAGGACGGCGCTCCTCTTCTTGTTGACACTGATGCGGCTGTAGTCGGCGGAGACGCCGATAGAGTCGGGGCTGTCACTGTCCATTGAGGTCCCGCTCGGACTCGGCACATCAACGGCAGGACGGACCTTGGCAGACGACAACGGAGAAATTGTCTCCCGCATCTCGGCTGACGGTTCTTCATGAATGGTCACACTCACGAGATCTGGGGACAAGAGAGCCGAGGTGGGTCGACTCTGAGGCTGCTCCTCCTCCTTCTTCTCCTCCCTCTTCTCCTCCTTCTTCTCCTCATCTTTGCCCTCGCCCTCTTTAGTGACGTCTTTTGCTTCTTCCTCCTCCGACGAAGAGGATTCGTCTGCAAGATCATCCAGTTCTTTAGGAAGGAGGTGTCTATAACGACGAAACAGACAAAACACCCCTTTTTTCCTCTTCTTTTTCTTTCCATCATCGCGATCGGACCTTTCTTCTTTCGATTTGGCGTGGACGAACCTCTGCAAGGCTTGAAAATTAGTGCCGGTGTAATTCTCAGGTTGGGAGTAATAGGCCAGGTCACTTTCCGGCGGATCGCTTTTGCCGCCCGACACACCAGCCGCAATTCCCTGCTCCAGACTCATGGCGTGGTGTTGATTATTTCTTTCACCTTCGCCGCTTTGCCATCAGAGGTCTGAAATATATGGACACGAGGAATATCAGGATTCGGTTAGACAGAGACATGAGAGACATGGATCCTACTGCATGCGGCGAACCCTGTCACTAGTCTATGACGTCACAGACATGTCTATGACGTCACATACATGCCTATGACGTCATGCGTTCATGCGTAGCCGCATCACTCTCGGACGCTGATATGTAGTTTGAGCGAGGAACTATGGGTAGGAAGGCGCCAACGCCTGCATTATATTTTATATACCCTAGTCGCTTTTTACGTTGTCTGTTTCACTATCGAAATAGTTTTCTTCTGATGTTAAATATTCTTCACATCAGACAGGATGACTAATGCTAAAAGAAAATAAATATGTTACTAGTTATTTTCATTGAAACAAGAACATAATCTTATTTCATATATTTACAAAAAAAATAGCATGTGAGCAGTAAATCTAATATGTTTTCGGTGCGGTCGGGTAGCCTAGTGGATTAAAGCGTTCGCTCGTCACGTCAAAGACCCGGGTTCGATTTCCGACATGGGTACAATGTGTGTAGCCCATTTGTGGTGTCCCCCGCCGTGATATTGCAGGAATATTGCTAAAAGCGGCGTAAAGCCATACTCACTCCCTCACTGATATGTTTTCAGAAAAGTTTATATTTGAGAAACATCATCATTGAGTTGTGATCACGTGGGTACAAGCCAGGTTGTGTCGGCTCGGAGTCAGTATACTGTGTCTGGGTGGGGTACTCATGTTAACCTGCGGCATAAATCGGCACCAGTCCGGACTAGTACAAGCAGCCACACACACACACACACACACACACACACACACACACGCACGCACGCACGCACGCACGCACACACTACATACACACACACACACACACACACACGTGTGTATATAAGTGGAATCTTGGACGCGACGTTAAACCTCATTTCGTCTCTCTCTCTCTCTCGCTTTCTCTCTCTCTCTCTCATTTCATTAGAAGCGGTAATGAAACGAATAGATATACATACATATACATGCCGATGTCTCGTGTCTCCCCTGTCTGTCACCTCTGCCTCCCTGTCTGCGAGCTATCAGTCCTAATCTCTACCTCGCGACTCTACAACACTTTATCATGTTGTAAATTATCACAACTTTCATTAACAACCTGCGTTTATCTACATCCGTGGATATGTGGATACATATTGCTTCATATTGTCAGCAGACGACCATTCCGCCACATCAGGAATCAGGACCTTTTGTTCGCCGGACTTTGTGATATTGTTTCCCTTTGTGTAGGATAATATCCACACGTGCCTTAACTCTACCAACTGTCATAAATTCCATGTTGCTCGCGCACCCCTTTTACGCATGTTATAAGACAGTGAAGGAGATACGTTGACAGCGTTGTATATCTCACTGACTGGTATATGTGTTAGCGGGCTTTTGGCTGTCCTCGCGAGAAGTGGACGAGTTTTCCTGAGAGTGTTGATCGTCTCTGGGATGTACGGTCCTCGAGGGGTAGTTAGTATACACACTCTAGCTGTCGGTGTATACCACGTGCGCTTAGAAACACAGGGTTACACGTGTTTGATGTGTCTGTCTAAACTCTTAAGTTACATTAACTCATTGAAATTGTTCAGTTTTTTAGTAAAACAACTACATTAAGATTGTTAAAAAAGACTGTGACCAGTTGAATGGCACAACGCAGACTGTGATGATATACGGCGGGAAGGTAGATCGCAGGCCATGCATTACGGAGATTTCTGTGTCTACAATTTACCCGTTGAAACGAGAATATATGAAATTATGGGATGTATGACAGTATGTCGGTTTTTAGAAAAAGTATTTTGTGGAGTTGTCTGATCAATATTGTGCCATTGGTCGACCACAAGTCTCGATGCAGGTACACTGCTATATATAGTCCATCTATATCCGCTTTCAAAAGTCGGCCACCCCGTGATCCGGGTTAGAATTTGTCTTCAGCAACCCATGCTTGTCCCCCGCGAAGATCCGTGTTAGAATAGGTCTTCAGCAACCCATGCTTGTCCCCCGTGAAGATCCGTGTTAGAATTGGTCTTCAGCAACCCATGCTTGTCCCCCGTGAAGATCCGTGTTAGAATTGGTCTTCAGCAACCTATGCTTGTCCCCCGTGAAGATCCGTGTTAGAATTGGTCTTCAGCAACCCATGCTTGTCCCCCGTGAAGATCCGTGTTAGAACTGGTCTTCAGCAACCCATGCTTGTCCCCCGTGAAGATCCGTGTTAGAATTGGTCTTCAGCAACCCATGCTTGTCCCCCGTGAAGATCCGTGTTAGAATTGGTCTTCAGCAACCTATGCTTGTCCCCCGTGAAGATCCGTGTTAGAATTGGTCTACAGCAACCCATGCTTGTCCCCCGTGAAGATCCGTGTTAGAATTGGTCTTCAGCAACCTATGCTTGTCCCTGTGAAGATCCGTGTTAGAATAGGTCTTCAGCAACCCATGCTTGTCCCCCGTGAAGATCCGTGTTAGAATTGGTCTTCAGCAACCCATGCTTGTCCCCCGTGAAGATCCGTGTTAGAATTGGTCTTCAGCAACCTATGCTTGTCTCCCCGTGAAGATCCGTGTTAGAATTGGTCTTCAGCAACCCATGCTTGTCCCCCGTGAAGATCCGTGTTAGAATTGGTCTTCAGCAACCCATGCTTGTCCCCCGTGAAGATCCGTGTTAGAACTGGTCTTCAGCAACCTATGCTTGTCCCCCGTGAAGATCCGTGTTAGAATTGGTCTTCAGCAACCCATGCTTGTCCCCCGTGAAGATCCGTGTTAGAATTGGTCTTCAGCAACCTATGCTTGTCTCCCCGTGAAGATCCGTGTTAGAATTGGTCTTCAGCAACCCATGCTTGTCCCCCGTGAAGATCCGTGTTAGAATTGGTCTTCAGCAACCCATGCTTGTCCCCCGTGAAGATCCGTGTTAGAATTGGTCTTCAGCAACCTATGCTTGTCCCCCGTGAAGATCCGTGTTAGAATTGGTCTTCAGCAACCCATGCTTGTCCCCCGTGAAGATCCGTGTTAGAATTGGTCTTCAGCAACCTATGCTTGTCTCCCCGTGAAGATCCGTGTTAGAATTGGTCTTCAGCAACCCATGCTTGTCCCCCGTGAAGATCCGTGTTAGAATTGGTCTTCAGCAACCTATGCTTGTCCCCCGTGAAGATCCGTGTTAGAATTGGTCTTCAGCAACCTATGCTTGTCTCCCCGTGAAGATCCGTGTTAGAATTGGTCTTCAGCAACCTATGCTTGGCCCCCGTGAAGATCCGTGTTAGAATTGGTCTTCAGCAACCTATGCTTGTCCCCCGTGAAGATCCGTGTTAGAATTGGTCTTCAGCAACCTATGCTTGTCCCCCGCGAAGATCCGTGTTAGAATTGGTCTTCAGCAACCTATGCTTGTCCCCCGTGAAGATCCGTGTTAGAATTGGTCTTCAGCAACCTATGCTTGTCCCCCGTGAAGATCCGTGTTAGAATTGGTCTTCAGCAACCCATGCTTGTCCCCCGTGAAGATCCGTGTTAGAATTGGTCTTCAGCAACCTATGCTTGTCCCCCGTGAAGATCCGTGTTAGAATTGGTCTTCAGCAACCTATGCTTGTCCCCCGTGAAGATCCGTGTTAGAATAGGTCTACAGCAACCCATGCTTTTCCCCCCATGAAGATCCGTGTTAGAATTGGTCTTCAGCAACCTATGCTTGTCCCCCGTGAAGATCCGTGTTAGAATTGGTCTTCAGCAACCTATGCTTGTCTCCCCGTGAAGATCCGTGTTAGAATTGGTCTTCAGCAACCTATGCTTGGCCCCCGTGAAGATCCGTGTTAGAATTGGTCTTCAGCAACCTATGCTTGTCCCCCGTGAAGATCCGTGTTAGAATTGGTCTTCAGCAACCTATGCTTGTCCCCCGCGAAGATCCGTGTTAGAATTGGTCTTCAGCAACCTATGCTTGTCCCCCGTGAAGATCCATGTTAGAATTGGTCTTCAGCAACCTATGCTTGTCCCCCGTGAAGATCCGTGTTAGAATTGGTCTTCAGCAACCCATGCTTGTCCCCCGTGAAGATCCGTGTTAGAATTGGTCTTCAGCAACCTATGCTTGTCCCCCGTGAAGATCCGTGTTAGAATTGGTCTTCAGCAACCTATGCTTGTCCCCCGTGAAGATCCGTGTTAGAATAGGTCTACAGCAACCCATGCTTTTCCCCCCATGAAGATCCGTGTTAGAATTGGTCTTCAGCAACCTATGCTTGTCCCCCGTGAAGATCCGTGTTAGAATTGGTCTTCAGCAACCCATGCTTGTCCCCCGTGAAGATCCGTGTTAGAATTGGTCTTCAGCAACCTATGCTTGTCCCCCGTGAAGATCCGTGTTAGAATTGGTCTTCAGCAACCTATGCTTGTCCCCCGTGAAGATCCGTGTTAGAATAGGTCTACAGCAACCCATGCTTTTCCCCCCATGAAGATCCGTGTTAGAATTGGTCTTCAGCAACCTATGCTTGTCCCCCGTGAAGATCCGTGTTAGAATTGGTCTTCAGCAACCCATGCTTGTCCCCCGTGAAGATCCGTGTTAGAATTGGTCTTCAGCAACCTATGCTTGTCTCCCCGTGAAGATCCGTGTTAGAATTGGTCTTCAGCAACCCATGCTTGTCCCCCGTGAAGATCCGTGTTAGAATTGGTCTTCAGCAACCCATGCTTGTCCCCCGTGAAGATCCGTGTTAGAATTGGTCTTCAGCAACCTATGCTTGTCCCCCGTGAAGATCCGTGTTAGAATTGGTCTTCAGCAACCCATGCTTGTCCCCCGTGAAGATCCGTGTTAGAATTGGTCTTCAGCAACCTATGCTTGTCTCCCCGTGAAGATCCGTGTTAGAATTGGTCTTCAGCAACCCATGCTTGTCCCCCGTGAAGATCCGTGTTAGAATTGGTCTTCAGCAACCTATGCTTGTCCCCCGTGAAGATCCGTGTTAGAATTGGTCTTCAGCAACCTATGCTTGTCTCCCCGTGAAGATCCGTGTTAGAATTGGTCTTCAGCAACCCATGCTTGTCCCCCGTGAAGATCCGTGTTAGAATTGGTCTTCAGCAACCTATGCTTGGCCCCCGTGAAGATCCGTGTTAGAATTGGTCTTCAGCAACCTATGCTTGTCCCCCGTGAAGATCCGTGTTAGAATTGGTCTTCAGCAACCCATGCTTGTCCCCCGTGAAGATCCGTGTTAGAATTGGTCTTCAGCAACCCATGCTTGTCCCCCGTGAAGATCCGTGTTAGAATTGGTCTTCAGCAACCCATGCTTGTCCCCCGTGAAGATCCGTGTTAGAATTGGTCTTCAGCAACCTATGCTTGTCCCCCGTGAAGATCCGTGTTAGAATTGGTCTTCAGCAACCTATGCTTGTCCCCCGCGAAGATCCGTGTTAGAATTGGTCTTCAGCAACCTATGCTTGTCCCCCGTGAAGATCCGTGTTAGAATTGGTCTTCAGCAACCTATGCTTGTCCCCCGTGAAGATCCGTGTTAGAATTGGTCTTCAGCAACCCATGCTTGTCCCCCGTGAAGATCCGTGTTAGAACTGGTCTTCAGCAACCTATGCTTGTCCCCCGTGAAGATCCGTGTTAGAATTGGTCTTCAGCAACCTATGCTTGTCCCCCGTGAAGATCCGTGTTAGAATAGGTCTACAGCAACCCATGCTTTTCCCCCCATGAAGATCCGTGTTAGAATTGGTCTTCAGCAACCTATGCTTGTCTCCCGTGAAGATCCGTGTTAGAATTGGTCTTCAGCAACCCATGCTTGTCCCCCGTGAAGATCCGTGTTAGAATTGGTCTTCAGCAACCCATGCTTGTCCCCCGTGAAGATCCGTGTTAGAATTGGTCTACAGCAACCTATGCTTGTCCCCCGTGAAGATCCGTGTTAGAATAGGTCTACAGCAACCCATGCTTGTCCCCCGTGAAGATCCGTGTTAGAATTGGTCTTCAGCAACCTATGCTTGTCTCCCGTGAAGATCCGTGTTAGAATTGGTCTTCAGCAACCCATGCTTGTTCCCCGTGAAGATCCGTGTTAGAACTGGTCTTCAGCAACCTATGCTTGTCCCCCGTGAAGATCCGTGTTAGAATTGGTCTACAGCAACCTATGCTTGTCCCCCGTGAAGATCCGTGTTAGAATTGGTCTACAGCAACCCATGCTTGTCCCCCGTGAAGATCCGTGTTAGAATTGGTCTTCAGCAACCTATGCTTGTCGTAAGTGGCGACTAACGGGATCCTGTGGTCATGCTCACTAACTTTGATGCATTTCATCCTATCCCAATTGCGTGTTCGAAATAGCAGCCAA